CCAGTCTGTACAGATCAACTGAGTTTCAGTTCAGTAGGCACGGGAGGCAGAGCCCGGGGTGCCCGGGGATGCGGCACCGGCGGGCAGCAGCAGGGAGAGGCAGTCGGAGGAGGTGGGGACCCGGGGGACGGAACTTAGCCACTGTGAACACGACTCGGTGTGGACCCTGCTCACAAGCAGCTAAGCCCTGCTCCTCAGGCCAGGTGTAGGCGGTGGGCTTCTCTGTCACCCCATCCCCGGCAGGGCAGTGTCCTCAGTGGCGCTGGTGGGCACTGGCGGTGGTGACCCCAGAGGCAGAGCTCAAGGTCGGTTGGAAATCCCTGGCAATGTGATTTGTGACAGGTAGCAAATCCCATCCCCAGGAACCCCAGCCGGCCATGGCATAGGGGTGGGGGGGCGACAGGTGGGGCCAGAGGCTGGTACCTAGAGTCGGGAGAGAGAAAACAAATGAGGTGTGAGATTCGGGGACACCTCCCCTCAAGTTCCCTGCCTGTGCCCTGCTTTATGTTTTTTTTTTTTTTTTTTTTTTTTTTAGTTTTGCTATAGAGCTTGTGCATGAGCCAGAAAGAGACAGACGCAAAGAGACAGAAAGCGAGAAATCACCCCCCCTCCTGGAGGGATGGCCACACCGCAATCCCTTTTCCATTCTCCACTCGGGATCTTGGGCACGCATGCACGCACACGTGTCATGCTTGATTTTCTTCTTTTTTTTAAATAATTATTTTATTTAACTTTATTTTAATCTGACGAGAGAGAGAGACAGAGAAGGAAAGTGAGAAAGCAAGCCATCAGGTCCAGGACTCGATCCATGATCGACCATGTGGGAGTGTCCATCACCTTAACCACCACCCCGCCTGGTCCAGGACTCGAACCACACAGCTGGCCATGTGAGATCCAATGCCTTAACCTCTATGCCACCTGCTGGCCCCCTTTCTGTTTTATTTTTAAGTTTATTCTTTCTTTCTTCTTTTTTTTTTTTTTTTCTGACAGATTTTTTGCTATAGAGCGTGTGTGTTCACCAGAGACACAGGGAGAGAGAAAGCGAGAAATCACCCCCAGGGGGGGATGGCCACGCCGCAATCCCTTCTCCTCCATTCTCCTCTCGGGATCTTGGGCACGCATACACATGTGCCTGGCACGATTTTCAACCCACTGGGTTTGGGACTCGAACTATGGTTAACCATGTGGGAGTCCAGCAGCTTACCCACGACGCCACCTTCTGGTCCCCTAAGTTTTTATTTCTTAGACAATACAAAGTACCCCTACGGGAGTCTTCACACCACGATCCACCCCCAGCCTCAGGCAGTCCTGAGCACACATGCTGACCATCCTCTGGAAGTCTCTGGATGCGAACCCAGACCCTTCCCATGTGGGTCAGCCCTGCAGAGCAGAGCATGGTGTTTTACCACTGCACCACCACCCAGCCCCACCATCCTGCTCCCCGCTGACTATAAGAATCAACAACTGCAGGGAGAGCCCCGCCAGCAGGCTGGACCCTGCCCCCCAGAGAGCTACCGATGCCCAGAGGACTCTTCCTAGAGCCAGTTTCCCGCGTTCACACCTCCCCACCCACCGAGCCCTGGGCAGGCCAAATGGGGCCACGGAGAGAGGAAGACGAGGGGGGACCGGCAGGCGGGAGAGGAAGTGATCTCACCCCAGCTGGCGCCACTTCCTAGAAGCCTGAAGGGCAGGAGGAAACCACCAGGCCTCCCCCCTGTGGCCCTGTCTCCTTGGTGGCCGGGCCTCAGCCCTCATCCCACCAGAGCGGATGCCAGGAGCATGCACCCCCACTGGCCCCGGGACACGCACATTTCCCCCGACTCCCCAGAGCTCAGGATCCAGCTCAAAGATTTAAGCTTCCCCAGCCAAACCGCTTGAGGTTCAAATCTCCTCCCTGCAGTTCCCTAAGTTCCTTCCAAGCCTCAGTTTTCTTCTCTGTGCAGTGGGTCCGAGAGAACTTCAGCGCCGAACGCCAGCACCCAGCATCAGGGCAGGCTGCAGATTCTGCCGGGCCTCGTGCAAACTGAAAACCCGAGCCCCTCGTTCTCAAATCGAGAATGTCAGGACATTAGGTCCCAAGTATTAAACCAAGCCCCAGGTCCTCGGACCTGCAACGGTCACACGCCCCCAGGAAGCCAGTCCGACGTGTCCAGTAACTGAAGACCCTTATGATAAGAGCCCAGCGGCTAGGCGATCCCAGTGCAGAAGCCAGTCTGCCCAGACTCGAACCCCCACCCTCTCCACTCCGCAGCTAGCTTCGTGGCTGGGTGACGCTGGGCAACTCCCTTAACCTCTCTGGGCCTCACTTTCCCCACCTCCAAAACAGGACAGTAAATATTTACTTTGAAAGTCATGGCGAGGAGGACCCCATGAGGGACCGAGACTCGAGACAGGGGCTAGCTGTCACTAGGTTCCAGACAGGACGATGGAGACAAGAACCCCCCCACAGTGGCAGGACCCCCGCTTCTGAGTCTAGTGGCACCTGATCCGGAGAGAGGCCCGTGGGAGAAGTCGCCCCCCCCATACACTGCGCACACCCACGCACACGCACACACTCACATCCACACGGGCCACCTTCCTTTTCCCCGTAGGGTCTGGGGGCCCCATCTGGGAGCAGATGAGACCCCGCAGGGCGACCAGCCTCCCTGGGCCGCCTCCGGAAGTGAGACAGCACATCTGTGTCCTAGGGACTAGAACGGGAAGGGCGGCCATTTGGCCAGACCCGTTTCCTGTGGGGTTTCCCCTGCACAGAGCCCAGGGCCACGGCCAAGGCGACTCCCCCTCCCTGCAGGCACAAAAGGTCCGGGGCTATGCATGGAAGGGGGTACCGCCCCCAGAGGCCCAGAAGCCTGGCGCCCTGGTGTGCCTCTGGGCTCACGGGGGACCCCCATTCCTGGCATGGGGTGAGGGAGAGGGTGGACTCTCAGACCAGGAGAAAAAGCTGCCCCCAGGCAGCTCCAGGACACCCGGGGCCAGCCAACGTCTGCGTGCCTGGGTATACTCCAGACAGCGTGTGTACATCCCAGACACACGCGTGCACGCGCACACACACGCACACACATGCACGTGTCTCGCAACGCCCCCCTCCACCCCCACGCTCCAAGAATGAATTAAGAACAGCTTCCGCCAGGGGCGCCCACCCCCCCCCCAACAAAAAAAACGCCCTGCCCGCCACCGCCACCGGCCCTCCCAGCCTGTCACTAACACTTTGCCTAATGGACCCAGACTCTCAGCAGAAGCTCCGAGGGCTGGGCCCGCCGCCAGCCGCCAACCTGGGCTGCCCGGCCAAGTGTCGGCTGACCACCGCCCCCCCTTACCCACCCCATCCCATCGCAGTGACAGTAACAGTAACCACGGTCCCCAACAGGGCGGCTCTCCGAAAGGCTGGTCAGGGAAAGTCAGGGCACTGGAGAGTGGGTGGGCCCCACTGCCCACCCGGGCTGATGGGGGGAGGCGGGGAGCTCAGGAAGGGGTGAGTAAGTGAGGGCTGAATCACTTGTTATAAATAGGGGAACCAGGGACGTCACATCCCAGCCCCCACCGCGGCCTGCCACTCCGTACGTACTCCGGCCCTCCTCTGACTTTAATCCCTGCCAAACCAATCACGAATCTCCCAGGGGACCCTAATATCCACACTCGGAGCCCTTCCCCGAGGGGGTACATACACCCCG